TGAAACTATATGAATTATTTACAAGTGTGGACAAAGAGCTTTTCCTGGAATGTTCCACAGTATGGCATTAAACTTTAAACAAGCAGGAGATGCGATCAGGCCAAATTACAGATCAGAGCTGTTGAGAGATAATCCGGCTCAACAAAGACTGCAGGTTTTTCAAGGTGACTTTTTAACACTTAAAAACCATGTAATTTCATTAAATGCAACACAGGAAAAACAATAACATCCTCAACTGTATCAGAAAAGTGACAAAGTGTATCTTTACATAATCGTTTCTTTGCCAAATCAGAAGGATGTGGAAAAGGTTTACCAGTGATGTGCTTTAAGTCTGGCCACTGTTTCCATTGCGAGATGCCTTGGGGAGGATCTACGTACACTTATTTATTCTGTGGCTTACTCAAACCTTAGTGTATTTACAAATGTACCATCAAATTTGGGCAAGAAAAAATAAAACGTGGCAGCAAGAAGCTTTCAGATTATAAATGATGGGAAAGGTGGAACAGGAAGAGGTCATACACATGTTTACAGTATAAGCCTACAGCTGGTTAGCGTTACTGCCCGTGTGTGCTGAAGGACAGCTAATGCAGTTACATCAGGGGTGCATTCCTTTGTCCTGCAGCCAAAGTAAACTAAAATGTGAAAGCACCTCTTACAGCCATTTTATCTTTGTCCAAACATCCACTATCTCCTGTTTTTAGGAAGGAAAGCCCAGTTCCCAAAGGAGCCCAGCTCCTCCTGTGATTTTCACCGCCTCAGTCTGAAGACCCAAAACCAGGCCAGCGGTGTGGTAAAGTCTTCAGTGGACATCAGACGGGCTGAAGCAGATGGAGGTGCACTTCCCGTTATGAGTAAGAAACAGGGCAAAGGTCAGGTCATCAGGTCACAGGATTTATGTGGATGTCTAAATACAGTGTTGCTCAATACAAGGAGTTGCTGATAACCACTGGTAAAATCCAAAATATATACAAATGGCATTTTAAAGCCCCAGCATGTAACTTTTTTTTGACTCGGACTCTGATTTGACCTTTTTTTTTCAGTGGAAACATTGTTCCTTTCCTATGTTTTATTTAGTTTTTTTTATTTGTCTGTTAATTAGTTTGACAGGGACATTGCAAAATAAATACAAACAAACTACATTTTTGGGCTCATCTCAAATTTTCAAGGGGGTCCTGTAGAGCAGTTTTACACCATGGCCCTATATATAGGCCATCAATGCACACAAATGTTTCATTGGGTCTGACGCAATACAACATTACCTTATGATCAGTTTGGGTAATTTTAATGATGAAGTCTACAGTCAGTGCTCTGTCAGTAAAAGCATGTGGTGTGGAGCAGAGGGAAGATTTTGAGGGGGAAAAAAAACGATTCTAAGTCTGTATTGTTTATGAAATGAAGACTGAAAGCCATATGTAGAGGCTTAAAGGTGCACTGTGCAACTTTTATGGTGGAGGATCCACTACTCACTTGTAACAGTTTTGGAAATGTGATTTCATGATTTCCAACCAGAAAGTACAGGTGGTTGGACTGAAATTCAATGAAAACCAAATTTTAAAGGAGATGCATGTGAAATCAACTTGTGAGTGTTTACTCAAAGTTGTGTTTCAATTGATCCATCCTTTTTTTGTCCTGCATTTGAGCTCTGAGTACTCAGAAAATATATGCATTCACCAACTGCATAATACATAACATGTCTTCTTTACTTGTAATGGCCAATCTTCTGGCTCATTTTCTATATGTTCTCAAGACTATATTAGACTGTCAGATGGGTGAAAGTCAGTCTGTCAATGGTTGAATCAGTGCTGCAGTTTTGTCATTGAACGAGATGTTCAAATGTATTTATATGAAATGTGCTCTTCTTTAGTATTTTCTGAATGTGCATTTACAAGAAAGGAAAATAATAGTGCTGTCACACCAACATATAGTGTTAATATTTTTATTTGATATTTTGTATAAAAATAAACATGAATAATAGTAAGGTAACAATGGAAAATATTTAGCTTTAGCTCCAATACCAATTTAACAATTGATACTTGAGCTAATTATTACAGTTAATTAATCAGCTAAAGGTTAAACACTGTCACCTTATAGCAACACGTTTTCAGGTTTGATTCCCAGATCACCCGTGCATTTTCGTGCAGAGTTTGAACATTTCAGTTCCTGTTTAGGAACTGATTCCTGAGCATTTTGTTCCATCTAATTGATGATCTAAATATTTTCTGGCTTCCTGCAGGCACTTCAATTTCCCCCGTCAAATTCAAAGAAAAAATGTCAATATACGGGGGACACAAAATGTACCTTACTTTTCAGTAAGATACACAATACTATACGGGAGAATCACCTCCACATTTTCAGTCGCTTGATAGTCTCCTTCCACTTCTCCTCCTTGGTCGCCATGATGTCCAGGAGCTCCTGGTTTTGTCTTGTCAGAGCAGAGTTAGTGTTCTCTGAGGAGGTCAGAGCCTCTGAAAGCTCCTGGATCTTCTCCTGCAGAGCATTCCTCTTGTGCACCTCAGTGCACTGTAAAGCTCTCAGCTCATCTCTGTGCCACGCCTTCAGTTTCTCCATCTCCTGGTTGGTGTCGTGCACTTTCTGTGTCAGGTGGTCTTTTTGTCCCAGAACAGAGGCATAAGCAGCACGGCACAGCTTGATCACAGCCTTTAATGTGGCTCTCTCTGGACAGTCTGCTTTAAGGCTTGTGTTGTTGCCTTTTGCTCTTGGAGAATCTGGCCCTGCTCCTTCTCTCTGAAGAGGAGGACTTGAATCTCTCTCTCCACCACCTTCAGTTGGTCCTGGAGCTCTCTGACAGAGCTCTGTGCCTCTGCCAGGGCAGCTGTAAGGATGGATCCCTCCTTTGTCAGGATGTTTTTTTTTTTTGACTCCAGTAGCTCCAGTTGGCCCAGAGCTTTTCTCATAGCTGTCTTCTCTTGTGCCAAGGCACATCTCATAACAGACACTTCTGCTATCAGCTCTTGTTTCTCTGTTTCCAGAGTGTCTGCTCTGCTCTGAACTGTGGCAGGGACCTGTTTCTTCTCGTTCAGGGAAGACTGCAGTTCAGCCACAAGACACATCAAGCTCTGCTTTTCCACCTGCTCCGTTTCAAAGTCCCGAGAGAGAGCGGTGATTTGGTGCCTTAGTTCTTTCTCCTGTTGTTCCTTCCTTGTGATGGTATCCAGGAGATACTGGACTTTTCCCTCAGCTTTAAGGTTGGCTTGGCCGAGTTGTCCTCTGAGGAAAGAGTTAGCTGTGGCCTGTTGCCTGCATCTCCAGCCTAGCTTTCTCTATTTCTTTGCTAAAAGCAGTGGCCTTCTCTTTTTTGAGCCGTTGTGTCTGCTTCTGGAGATTTTCCACATACACGCAACTCCATTCACATTGCTCCTGATGGAAAGCTTTCTCTTTCTCTCTCTCCTCCTGCTCCTTCCTCAGCTGTGCTTTCAGCATTCAGTTCTGCTTCGGGAGTTCTTCCTGTGCGGCTTGGTTCTCCTGCTGTTCCTGAACCTAAGGGACCTCAGGTAGAATGTGCAGAAGGTTGCTCTGGTCATTTGTCTGGCCTACCGCCTCTCAGTGCAGGGCTCTCCTTTGCTTTTGTCACTCTTTGCAATTCAGTGAAGGGATCTCAGGTCTTAGTTCCTTTATCTCAAACTCAGGTTTGCTGGCCATCTGATCACTATAAAACACTGTGATAATTGTCACTAATGGTCACTGTGATAATTGTCACTAAAAAGTAATAAAGAAAATCATCAACTAACTTCTAACTCAGCGTTAGAAAGAAGTGCTCATGTTAACAAACTATTGTGAATCAGTTTTAGGTACACACTAATGTATGACACTAGGCAGTTGCTTTATCAATCACAATTATCAACTACCAAAATTTTATCTTATTGTTATTGTGCAAAGCAAGGAGTCAATAAAAGTGCAATTTTTTAATATAATCTATTTGCCTTCTGCTAGGCTCCTGCAGCTGCAGTCCTCACAGACGCTGGGTGCGGCCCTGGTTGAGGTACACAGTTGTTACTTAGCTACGACACATGTTTGTCGTTTTTGGTTCAGTGGTCAGTGTCTCATCCTTTTGTGTAGACCTTCAAACAGCTGTGTTTTCCAGAACCGTCTTATTTTTCTCTTCATCTGTGTCTGGGCTGTCTGTTCACATCTCCTCCTGTATTTGAGGCTTAATGTACAAAGTTTTAACACTGTGAAATGTAAGAGCTGTTTATTTGAATAAGTCAGTGTAGTTTTTACGAGACTGCGTGGGATTTTCAAAGCTTTTATAGTTGTTTGTGATGTCAAGATTAAGTAACAGGCAGATCCTAATGGAAACGTGGAAAGCCTGTAATACTACTGTAACAGATGGCGCCCTCTTATGGTAGAATTCACATACTACAAGTCATAGTTATTCAATACTTTATACATTTTGGATGTTTGTGTTAAAAGTACAGAGTGTAACTTTTCATCCTTGTCTTCAGGGAGATGCTATTTATTTGTCTCAAAAGTCCCATGGTATGGCATTAAACGTGTCTATCTCCATGGAGACAATTGGGGACACCACCAAGCCATTCCAGGCCACATCTGTGCTGAGATGTCCCTGCCCACTGTAAGACACTGTACACTTTCACTGTATTTTTGAGCAATAAAAACAGTTGTAAGTGAATAAATGCTAGATAAATATGTTTAATAATATCCATAGAATCTTCCCTCACCAGAAAAGTCACATAGTGCACCTTTAAAGTGGTTGATAGAGTGTTCTGCATTTGCTGGGACCGTCACCTGAGGCCACATCATCTGCATAATTCCATGGAAACAGAAAGTTAAAACCACACTTTGTAATATTCTCCATGGGAATAGAGACTTTTTATGTCATACTGAATATTACAGCCAAAGGAACATTTCTATGAAAGCAAGTAGGAGGACGCCCTCGTTCAACCCAAATAAGAACCACAGTAAAGACCCATGTTTTTCAGTTTCTTAGTGCAATAAACACAACCAGAGTGACAGAAACATGATTTTCTTTCAGTTTATTTATTGGCTAAAACGTTACATTCTGTAGCTTTAATAGTAACAACAAGTTACAAAAAACAAAAAATTGTTCAGTATCAATTCAGTTTCAATTTCTAAGTTTTTTTTGCTGAGAAGTCAGTTCATCAGTGCTTTTGGTGAGAAGAGTGATTCAGTTGAAACTTAAACAGTGTTTTGGTGCTGTGGTTTGTGTCCAACCTAGCTACTAAAAATTGATTTGGTTGTGCAAGGTGAGCGGATGAGGGTTGTAGACTGAAATGTCAAACCACACTAATGACACTCACGAGCTCACCGCTGGGCCCACCTGGCAGGACACCCTGACACACAACAAAGGCTCGGACCAACACATACCTCGTACACACACACCCACATACACACGCCACGCACACACACGCACACACACAGGAAGTCAGAAGGGTGACCCACTTCTGTCACGACTTTATTTTATTTAGGTTTAGATGCAATGGAAGGATTGCATAAAGAGAAAACAAAAAAAAAAAAAACTTTGCAAACCAGCTCCAATATTCACTCTATGTACAATTGTGTATTGCTGTTTACCATTTAGTTGCTGCTACATGCATTTATTCTACAGTATTTACAGGGTCAGCCTAAAGCTACAACTGGACTACTGCCTACTAAACATGTGACCAGTGTCTATGCAGAAAATATTTGTCCCTAAATCTTGTTGATGTGTAATTTAGCAGCTGTATCAAAAAAGAAAAACAAAGATATATAAATGTTGGAATAGTTTTGACTGAAATTAACATTTTTAATAATAGAAGCAGTGGGCGTGTTTCTCAACATGCGATACCTGAAAAGTCTGACACACTGACACAATACTCAGATGGATTTGTTGCTAAATGTGGTGTGCAGCTCTTTGAGAGTGAGATAACCTGACTTACATGTGTCTACAGGTAAAGACGAGGCCCTGCACATGGGTTCAATCACAGGCCAGTCTGACAGGTGCTCACTGGCAAGAGAAGCAGCGACAGGTGTGTCCTCTTCTAGCCCGTGGTTATCAAACACCAGGTTCACCTCAGAAGGGTAAAGGGGAGACGCAGGAGAGAAGGATGAGACATTCACAGGCAGATGGAGGAGAAGAGGAGAGCTCTGGTTGTCATGGAAAACCTCTGTGTCCTGGTCTTCAAACCTACCGATCCCAAACCCAGAATCTGGGCTCTGTGGCTCCCTCCGCAGGCTCTCGTAGATGGACGAGGAGATAAAGAGTGGGCACAGGGACAGGTGAAGTTTCCTGTGTGGACTGAGGACGTTGCCCTGGTAACTGAAGTAGGGGCTGGTGCAAGTGTGAGTTGAGCTGCCAGTGCCACTGGACATGAAATAGTCCATGTTGGAGAAGCAGGAGGAGGAGCAGGAGGAGAGAGGGTCATCTGCACAGGGGGAGTGGACCAGGGCTGAAGAGCTGCTGGGGGAGCTGGGCGGCATCTTGTCCCAAGACTCACACACCTCCACCGCGCAGATGTCCTCGCATGGACGGGACACAAAGAAGGGGTTGGACATTGGCGCAGGATTCAGCCATTTCTGAAAAAGATACAATGGATTCCAGAGGCTGTCGATAATAAACTGTCTTTATGTTTTTAAGCAAGAAATGCATTTAGAATCAAATGCATTATCTATGTCATTCCCATAACAGAACTATTATGAATACTGAATATTGTGTAAAGTATAATTTCCTTCAATCTATGAATAAGTGAGTGAAAGGTATTCTTAAATGTTATTAAATTACCTTGAAATTTCCTCCATAAACTGAATGCAGCGTACAGAAGTATTGGGAAGGATTCGGAACAGTCTTCAATTTCAGATTCCTGAAACAACAGTGGGTTGTTTCAGTGGGAGGAAAAGATAACATAAATAACATTCTGAGCACAAGTAACTCACTAACCGTTTTCTGATGCAACAGCTGTAAATGACCAGCACTGAAGCAACAAAAAAAAACAATCCCAAGGGGAGAACTAAAAGTATAAAAATGAGTGCAGACGGCTGATCCAGATTTAAAGCTGAAAAAAAAAGAAGATTAAATTAAAAACATTACTGACTGACAGTTGATGTTTTGTTTATCCAGTAGTGTTTGTGTAGTTTTGTGTGTGTTGAGTGGGGAGAGATGGGCTTTTTTGTTATATACAGTATATTCTCAAAAAAAAAAAAAAAACATTATTATTTGGTATCTGCTTAAAACTGTACTGACAGAAAACCCAATTCACTCTTAAAACATACCTTTTTCCTGTGATGTTGCCACTTCATCCTCTTCCACCCAGGACGTGGTCGGGCTCCACTCACTCCAATGGCCCCCTTTCCATTGATTAGACTTAATTCTTACTCTAACCTGGAGATGGCCCTTTAATTTCTGCCATAGGATCATCTCTGAAGGCTCACTCACTGTGAAATTCCCTTTGCACTCATACGCTCTTGCATCCCAAGTACTGGAGGGCAAAGCAAAATTTACTTTCTCCCATGACTGGTGAGCTTGTTTGATCTGAATATGGACGGTGAAAGTCTTGATGAATTGCGACTGGGGGCTCCCGACTTTCCAAGATATCCGGGTCATGTTAGAAGTGCTTGTGACATTAGCAGTGCTGGGCCGGTGCATTTTAACTATTCAAACATGAAAGCAAAAATAGCTTAGTTTACAAGAAATTGATAAAAGAGTTGTTCAATTTAAAAATTTTTTTTACTCACTGTGAAATTTGGGTTCATAGATTGGGGATTGAATCAATGTGCCGTTGCAAGACACACTAATATTTTTGAGTTTTTCAAATGGATTAAATGTCTAAAAAAAGAAGAGATAAAAAAGTGAGCTCGTCACATAGTAAACACACTCTGTCTGCAAGTAAAGAGATTGTACTGACCATTTATCTATGTTCTAATGTTGTTTCCTCATCACCAACATACCTGGAGTTGCGCTTTGTTTTACTGACACATGTTCAACACGCAAACCTGGCAATTTAGACTGAGTTCTTCTCTCAAACTGAAAACCACTGTTCCACCTAATATAATTCAGGAAGCGCTCCACTGTGTTTTTAAACTCCATACACTTTGAATGATTTGGATGATTTTCGCCCTGGAATTGCCAAACTCTACTGAATGAAACACTGATTAAAACACAAAAACATAACTCCAGATATGTTTTTGAGGAGGTAAAGTTCACATTTCAATCCATTTTGTGCAATACAGAACCTTTAGAACCTTACACAAAATGTATTACAGCTAAATGATAATGTTGTCATATACAATTGACTTTTTAATTTGACATTTAAACCACAATTAACCTTTATCTGCCTCTATAGCAGTGATGCTTATACGCCTGGTACAGAAGTGGCAGTGGGTGAATGAGTGAACGGCAGTAATTTTGTGGTTAGGCTTCGGGTTATTGTGCGGAAACGTGGCTAGATTATCTATGCTCTATCATCTACAATTGTACTATATAAATAACTTACCTGATCGAACGCAAAGGTGCATCCTGGGAATTCTCCGTGTTGTTTTAGTTTGCAGCTGCGCCTGGACAAATTTCAATCACAATCAGGTTCTATTTTTTTAAATATATATATATATATAACTTTGGTAAATTACAAATTAGTAATACCCAAAATGATAGTAACAACTATTTGGGAAACTACTACTCAAGTAAGATTAATTATGAAAGTAACTGTATAATGGCTGTATAATATAACGCACAAAATCTGGTATATTCAAAAGATAGACCACAAAAACGAGAAAAACTAAATCACATCTGAAGAAGAGGTGAAATAAACTCAAATAAAAGTACTTTAAACTTAATATTACTCAAGTAGGAGTCCACAAACTACTCCAAGATGTACAGTTCCTCTTAAAGTCAATGCATTTGTAAATGTAACTGAGTACTATCCACATACACTTACACATAATCCATATAGTATACTTACTTGATATCCACAACTTGACGTCTGTTATCTTTATAGATGTGTATTGTCTTAACTCCAGACGCCCAACAGTCCGAGCTGGAGTTGAATGCAGAGTGCTTCCAAGTGCAAGTGACATTTCTGACAAAGTCGTTGACACAGGAAAGTTCTGTAAGGCAAAACAGAACTTACATTTTTGCTTGTTCGTTGGCTTGCACAGTAATACAGAGACCACAGTCGCTATTGTACCTGACAGGCTTTGCCGAGCCTGAGCTGCGTGCGTCGAAAGGAGAAGCACAGCCGAGTACATGGACCACTGAAACCCGACTGCCATGGCTTCAGTCAAACAAAAAACGTACATTCATATGAACAAACAAACTATTTTTTAATAAATCTGTCACTTAAGATGGACTGTCTTGCTGTCATAAAACTTAACATGTTTTTATGCAGAATAATAAATAAATAGTTCACAGCTTTGATTGAATGCTCTATCAGTTTTGGACTAGTAACATTAATAACAAGCTACTGAATTGCAATTAAAAGATGTTGCAAATGTGCGTAGTCATTACAGATACTACCAGCATATCTGGGGAAACCAGCAAATGCATTAAGAAATAGTTCTGTTTTGAATAAAGGTAAAAATGTACCTCACTGCTTTCCTTGACTCCTTGACTGAAGTTGCATCCTCTGAACTGTCTACATCTCTACATTGTCTCCAGTGCTGCCTCTCCGTCAGTCATCCCTCCATCTCCTCAGCCTCTTGACTGACTTGTTATTTTAAGTGCCCGGTGACATTTTCCACTTGTGACCGCAGCCTGTGTACAGAGGGCTTACAGGAAGCCCCATGTAGCTGAGTGATAGTGAGAGGATGGGCCTGGTCGCACCTCCTCCCCCCGCTGCTATTGCTGCTACTGCTATACCTGGACTCCTCTGTGGGCTCCTTCAAACACAATAAACACAGTTAAAAACACAAAAAGACAAAGCACACCACATCCTGTTTCAATAGCCTAGCACGATGTGAGACTTGCATGTTTACTTGTGAAGTGGTTAAACTCATTGAAAGTCAGTATAAACTAGTAGATAGAAAAGATTTAAGTGGGACCTAATTTAGTAGGAGGTGGTTATTTACATAGCATGCATTGAGAAAAGCTGTACGGCACTAAAACCACCGTTACAGCCGCAACCACTGAACTCATACGGATGTCAACTGTGCGTATAGAGGCCAAGCGCTAAAGTTTAAGTTTCAATAGTCAAAATATATGCATCTGTAATTAAACATATGGTATAGAGTAGAATATTTGATAATATGATATGCTTCCGTTTTAATGACTGACTTAACAAAATGAAATTACTTGAGAAATAACCTTAATAATCTTGTCATAATCATACCACATACAGTTTTTCCAATATGCTGCTTCAATTGAAATGCATTTGTATTTGACTGACAGGCAAATTTTCAAAATCTATAATGAACAAGTCTCATGTATGTGTAATATAATTAAAAATACTGACTGAGGAGCACATGCATCATCAAAACAATACAGTTTTTTTTTTTGTATAACTGAGCATTGTGCAAGAGGTAACTCTGACACAGAAACAGACAATTGCACAACAGTTTCTGAAGTCAATCTTTCTGGCACCTGTCAGTGATTGTTAGAGTACAGAGACCTGCTGTGGGGCAAGAGCTGATCCGCTGTCTCCCGCCCCCGGTTCCTGATCTATGCACCGGTGTCAGCAGCCGAGGGGTGAGGAGTAGGAGGTGGTGGGGGGGGGGGTGTACATAACCTGCTGAAAGGTCAGACTGCAGTGTGTCATCAAGACCAACTGATTTACAAGACAAAAAAGGAAGAAAAAAAAGTGTATTTTAAAAGTTTTTAGAAATGTACATAAAAAAATCATGAGTTATTATTATTACTTAATGTATAACTCCTTGTTTCAGTGGAGATGTTTTTCCTTGGAATTTTCTACAGCACAGCATTAAACGTATTCATCTCCAAGTGATGCTACAAGGCCAAGGTACAAGTCAGATCTGTGGAGAGGTGACTTTGACAGCAATGAGAATGCATGCTCTTTGAACAAAAATAAAACCTGTAATTTACCTTACGATAGATACATTTTATGGTATACTGTGACTGTGGACCATTCCAGGCAAACCCTCTACCTGAAAAGTTGCATGAAAAGTTACATAATGCACAGTTAATATTCTCCAACCCAGTGTGGTAGCTCCTTGAAGGTCCTGCAGAAGTTCCAGGCATGGGGTTGTCTTCTCGTCTTCAGGGTCCTCATGTTTCTTGCAAATTTCTGTTTCTATGAAAAAATTGACCCATGGGTAGCATCACAGGTGAAGGCATAAGGACCAAAGAGAAGGAGTGAACCCATACCCACCAAAGGGTCCAGGCTGGTGTCTCATTAAATTCCTTCATTACTGTAAGTCACCTTGAAAGAAACAAGATGCATTTACGGGGCTGCTGCGTAATAGGTTAAACATAGACTGGCACTTATGGTTGAACAGTATGGTTATATTTTAACAGCATTTTGTGGCCTTATTATTTCATATGTTTCCAGGTATTAAACAGTATTTATAGTCTGGTTGCTACATTGTAAATTCACTATTAATGCAATTTATATAAGCAACCTTATATTGTCCCTTGACTGCCCTTTGTGGCTCGTGTCCTTTTGTTCTCTTAGGTTTGGAGACATAAAAAAAGCATTTGAGTTGATTTTAGTGACTTGATCTTACTGCTGACATATGAAGCATTGCTAAACGATATGTGCATATTTCAGAATTAATATTACTTATTATGGGACAAAGTATTTCATAGAAGGCCTACACAATCTATTATCCACAAATAACAGTGTGATAGTATTACGTAGGTCTATTTTCTTTTCAATTTGACCATTTTTCCTGTCAAATGTTATATGTTGAGAAATGCTTCTAATATGTTCTCCAAGAAGGTAGCAGGAGATCAGAGCAAAAGTTGAGTTTGTAGTTTAGAGTTTTTGCTGAGAGAAAGTTTTGTAAGTTTTGTGCTGCTGCAGATGGTCAGAGTTCAAATGAGCAATGAGTCTGTGCAAGAACTGCTGCATCCGTTGCCAGGATACTGATAAAAGTGGGCGGGGCTTACATCGTTTTCTGAGAGAATTGTTTGCAAACTATTTTCTTAATCCTTATTATTACTTAGATCCTAAAATGTCTTTAGAGTTATTTGACATTGATATTTATTTTACACAGTTGTGAACTCTCTCTGATCTTGCATTAGTCAGTGTAACTAGTAGATTGGTGGTAATCTGCAAATGATGAGCATATGCAAACACACACACAACACAACATCAGGGAAATCTGTTCTAGATGTTAGCCAATGATGTGCTTCTGGAAGTGACTAAAGGTAGTTTCAGTGGTTTATGCTCAAACCACCAATTTCGCTGGTTTTGAGCAGAGGCTCATTGACATTTACGTAGAACAGCTATCCTGCTTGAAGTCAGACTTGATATACTTGATATTCCTTGTCTGTATTTTGGGCAGGATAAATATGGGTTATTTAGCATTGCATACGTTTTTATTTGTGCAACAAAACACACAAACACAACACTCAACTCTCCTCTCCACAGATCAATTGCAAATAAAGTGAACAAAAAAAAAATATCTAAAATGTAAAATTAGATTGTGGTTTCACACCCAGAAGAGCAAAAGAGACATTTAGTGACACCTTTCCCCACCCCTGTCATTCTTCTTAAGCTTGTGGTTCATGATGTTCATTTCCGTCCACTGGACTGCAAAAAACACAAAAGAACAGGTAAAAATAATGAAAAGTGCCAAGAAAAAAGAAAAGCAAGGTGGTTATGTCTACCCAAATCATCCGTCTTGTGTCCAAACCAGAGATTTGAGGGCCATGTAGTGAGTGGGTGAGCAACATATGAGTCACTGTAGACAGATTTCCAAACGACTGGATAACCTGCAGAAATAAAAGAGCGTAACAGGAGGAAAAACAGATTCAGTTTCATTATACATTTGAAGTGGAGGGCCTCAGACCTGAGAGAATCAATCATTCAGATGGATGCATTTAACACAGCTTTGACAGTTTTGACCCCTTACAGCTGAATTAGAACAAAAATGCCCCCAAATCTCCCCACTTTTGCAAAGAAATTGTATACATGATACCTAATGAGAACCAAACATATAGTGTTCCAGCTGTCATATATTGAACTATAAATTGTTATATTCATCGTAATAGGCCTAAATGTATGTTTCAGACCTGGGAATATGTTGGAGCGGAGACACTGGCCCAGACTGTGGTAGCCATTTGCTAGTATGCTGGTTGATCCAGTATCACTAAAATGAGGGAGTGACGGCATCTTCACCTGCGGACTCTCAAATGCTCCTATCTGCAGTTTATACAACACACAATATTCAGCAAGAAATTACAATTGTGACGAAAGGCAAATGTCTCACCTGTGACATGACTGCAGCGTATTGAGGTCAAACTGTGAAGCCAAACCACAAAGAGGCTATGGACAAACAAGTGGTATTGCATTTCTCAAGAAAGTCACCAAGACACCTGAGAGCTGTGCATTCACCTCAGGAAGAAGAAATACGAGCAGGAAATGTGTGTTTTTGAAAACTAAGAAAAAACTGAACAATTTGTTTGTTTTCTTTGTCTTTTTATTGAATTCATGACACCCTTAAATGCTATTTGTGTTGTTGAACTTTACCGCACACAAATGTCAGACTGGCTAAAACAATATAAAACATAACAACCACAACATTATTTATATTATGTACATGCGCTCATTTTCTCAGAGGCTAAAGAAATCAAAGAGTCCATTGTTCACTCCCAAGTGCACTTTCATTGGTTTCATTCCGAGGACATTAACAGAGGTCTTAACAGCTGATGCCATACAGTTCATTTTAAACATTTTATTGTACAGTAGAGTGAAGCATGAAACAGTTTTTTACTTTGCTTTTCCTTGAAAAAGCTACATTTGGGTCAGTGAATGGCAAACTAGCTGGATGTTGTCACTTTGCAGTTTTTAAACGGACTACACATTCTAACTAGAAAAGTATATAATTTGCCCAATTAGGAATGGCTCTGTGAAAGGGAACAAAGCTAACACAATGGAGTATGTAAATAAATGTTTGAAGTTTTGTAGTTCTAAATTAGTCCAAAAAACAACACTGTAACAAATGAAAAACAAGTGCTAAGATTGTCTTTGACCTGTTTTGGCTTCAGAAAACTAAATTGGAAAAATATGAAGTAAAAAAAGAAAAAAGTTCAATTGTGCTTTTTGTGGTTTTGCTCTATTTTGTGTCCAAATGCATTCAACAGTTATCTATAGTCTAAAAAAGTAGTTTGGAACCATATCCCCATTACCTCTAATACTGACTACATAACAAAGTGTGAGTTTAACATGAAATCTTACTTTACAACTTGATTTGGATGTTTAAATGGACATGAGTAGGCATACAGGCACTCATACCATAAGAGTAGATGTGGATTCTGCGAGTGTTTCAGCAAGGCTCATGTAGACGGCACAGTTCTAGAATGATGGGCTATGCATCTTTATACACATTGTTGAATACCGGTAAAATCATTCTCTTATAAAACGTGACTTGCTTTAAAAACAAAGGAAGAAGCAGGGTTTGCTGCTACCTGGGTAGCTGAAATACTCATAATCTGATGTCTGTTGGAGTGGTCCTTCAGGAGCTACCTGCTTCTCTCTGCTCAGGCAGGACACAGGCCATTGCTTCTTTATGTGGGTGCAAACTTCTTGGCCTGTGCCCGGACGCGCTTCTCATAGTCCATCCTGTTTTGACTGAAACAAAACACAACATGTTAAGATGTTGAAATAAAGCAAACATGTACTTTGTGTGGTAAACACAGACCAGTAAATCGTGTATGCCTCTGCTTGAGCCGGGTCTTGAATATTTGGCTCATTCAGCAGTTCTTGGATTCCCAAAAGAATCTGAAAAGAGTTCATGTAATTACTGCACCTTTTTTTATGCGATTTAAGTTTTTTGTTCAGCCATGTCAAACCTGTTTGATGGTGATGGCAGGCCTCCAGTCCTTGTCTTCC